CTATCTACCTATCTACCTATCTACCTATCTACCTATCTACCTATCTATCTATCTATCTATCTATCTATCTATCTATCTATCTATCTATCTATCTATCTATCTATCTATCTATCTATCTATCTATCTATCTATCTATCTATCTAGTGTCATTTCGGAGTTGACTGTACTGGCTCTCGTGCCGCCAATTTTCAAAACAAACATTTTTTCATAGATATCTTCAGCTTTACACCGCAAGAAAAAATTTGTTGAGCTCTTCCACCCTCTTGCCCCAGGGGGAAGCTTGGGTAGCCACTAAGTTAATTTAACACTAAGTAATTTAAAACATGGCTAAGTAGAAATAGAGACAAGCGATTTTTATATTTTAGGTATTAAGGTATTAAGGTTTTAAGCCACGAAAAACGAGGAGGGTATGTCATAAAAGCTGCTGGAATGGAATTGGTGGAGAGTTGAAGGGTGGGGTTTGGCCAGTTTTTCAGCTTTGATTTTCCCTATGATCTACTTTTCCTGGAAAAGCCATGGGCCCTAGGAGCATTTTATATGTACATGTAGCTGAAATTAAGCAAATAACAAATAAAAAGTTTTGATTTTCATATTGGGCTTGCTGTTTCATCGGCCAGAAATTTTTTGGAAACCTGTGCTTTGCAAAAACCTTTTTCGAGAATCTCTATTCAATTATGGTATTATGTCCTTTTGCCCACTCTTATCTTTACAATCTTCTTTTTTTCCCCTGGACTATGATATTGCAGCATTGGGTGGGGATGACCTCGATGCTTTGAATCTCCATCTCTAGCGTGTCAATTGTCAGCTATAAAAATCTTCAAAAATTGAAGATATTTTGCACCATATTCTAGTCTTCGTTATAGATATATAAAAAGTTATATCTGAAGTCATTCTTGGAATCTTGGAAGAGACCTTTTTAATTTCCTCTTTCCCCTAAAAATTTTCCCCTCCTCCTAATTTGTGAGGCGGTTAAGGTTAGTGGTTACAATTTTTAAATTAAGTTTTGATAATTACTGCGAATACCTTTCCCCAGCTCCATTTTCCACTGCCCCTTGAATAGTATGTGAAAGTTAAATTTAGGATTGATTGTTGAGAATGATGAAAAAATAATGGAATTAATGAATTAAACCATGAAAAGTGAATCTTGGGTTATTTTTTCCGTATTAGTTATTTCTTTTTTAGACATTGACATTTTAATGTATTCAGATGTACAGCACTTTTAAATCTCATTGGAGACAAAGCAGCCATTTTAGGGGAGGGGGTTAGGGGAGGTTTGCCCAGTCCAGGTTTATGTAATCATCTCGTCAATTTGCAATAGATCAGGTGGGATATGTCAAAAATGAAAACAAAACCAGAAGTTTCTCATTTTGGTTACGAGGTTAGTTTCTTGGATTATGGCGGCTGAACATAACGGAGTGGATATCGACGAAGAAATAAGATATTCAGAAGAAGAAACGAAAGTAAGAAGCATATGATTTTTGTTTGCATTTCTGTTATTTCAAGTGAAATGGTTATTCAATTATAATATGCAGTAAAGTCGAATTTCTGGGCTATCGTTGATAAATCTTTCCGGATGTTGATAGAAAGAGGCCCGGTCGGATATTCTCTCTTGCTGGCTGCTCATATGAAATACGTACTTTCCAGATGAAAGACAAAAGACAATGATTTAATGATTTGATTTCCCCCTTTCATTTTCGTTAACTGGCTCATTTCACAAAAAGTTGAGGTACAGTACAGTTTAACTGTCGAGGATGGGAAGGGGGAGAGGGGGGTAGCTTTAACCGTAATTTATTATGTAAGTAAAATTTCTAACAAACCCCTGTCGAGAGCCTTGTAAATCAAGTTTTCTGCCAAAAACCTACTCTGACCTTAGTAACAGGGCACTGGCCTCTAAAACCTTTTTGGTTCTCTCAGTGTCCTCCTGACTGGATTGTGTAATGTGTGGCACTTGTGAGATTTCAGGTGTGCCAGAAGCAGCCATATTGGTAACGTATATGGGTGCCCCAGTATATGGTCAACTCCCAGTATAGGGATTTTAACTTAATTTTGATTGACAATCCTTATACTGGGGCTTGACCGTAAACTAGGGCGCCATATACTTGGGGAAACGTTACCAACCTTGCTCACAAGAGGCTCTTCAACACAACGAGGTGTAGAAAATTGGTTGAATTGCAAGCAGAAAGTGTACTAACCAGGGTTTTCAGTGGGGGAAAAGGGTGCACAACAGCACACAAGAGCACAGACACACATTTTCTGTTTCATTTGGAAGCAATTTATTACATGTGATGAATAGCTCTTTTGTAGACAGTGGTGTAGTGTCAAAGCATCCTAGTAATGCCCCGCATGCCCTTTGAAATTTTCCCAAAAATATTTTTAACCCCTTTTTTGAAAGGGAAACTTCAATTAAACTTGTTGAAAATGCACTATGTTCCACCCTTTATCAACCCATTGCAGTTCAATGGTCCCACCCTAGTTTTTCCCCTTAAAGTAATTCATTAAACCTTTCCCTCTGTTTTTAGAGATCACTTTCTATTGAAGTCAGGAGACCCTTGCCAGCATCCTTTTGTTGCAGCACCCTCTTTCTCATTTGTTTCTGGGCATGCGGAATTCTGACCACGTTACCTGATAAAAAAAGTTGTTTTACCCTGTTTAGATGCAAAATTTTGCTAAAAAATATTTAATGGAAGATTGCTGCCATTGGTATCATTTTAATGGAAGATTGCTGCCATTTTTTGACTTACAGAGTTGAGGATCAAACTTTGAACAGGATGTTACTGATCTCAGCTTGCTATTGACCCTAACTCAAGCTACATACCCACTACAACAACTCATGCTATGCCACTGCTTGTAGATAGTGTTTTCAAGCCTATGCAAAGACTCTTTACACCACACTTTCCTATTCCACAACGTGTGGTGCTGTTTTCCTAGAGGCGAGTTCACTTATATTCATCTCAGGGAAAACCAGGTGTGCTCTGAGTCCCTGACATGAACAAATTAACAAGGCATAGAAGTCACTAGGTATAAGAATCACAAGGTGTGGCCGCATCAATGAGAAGGACCAGGACACTGCTCGATAAGCAGAAGCTATTCAGTGTCCTAAACTACCTTAAAGAGCTAGGTAGCAAACAGAAATACAACAATTCAAGTCTGTGCACAGGCAAGCCATTTCCCGATGCTGATGATTTCTATGATCCATTCCTGAAATCTATTTTTCTGAAATTTGGTCAATCCACTTTAGAAATTTGTTTTCAAAATGGAACTTTGACATTGATTTTTGATGGACTGACATAATTTTCTCATTTGTTAGTTTGTTTGTTTCCATTTGCTAAGGCCCTCTGAAGTCTCTCTACATTGCACAGTACCCTTGATGATAAATTGATTGTTTATAAAAATCACACTCTTTGAAATAAAGACCAAAGGGAAGATATCATTGTAATAGACTGTTGATATATACCAAAAGTGGAAATGGAAAGTGAAAATAAACAATCAAGAAAGCATTCAGACCTCAAAAGAGACTAAAGTTCCATCAAAGGCTGATTCAGCTGAGTCAGGTGGTGATGATGAAGTCGAATAATTTTGCATCTGTAAGGGGAAACTGTAGCATGATAAGACAATGCAGCATTTTGTTCAGTTTGATGGACTCCCTGGGGTATTTTTTCTTTGACCCATAAATAGATTTGGATGGATAATTACAGTGGCCCACCAATTTCACATCAAATACAAATCTGCAGATCAAATACAAATCATCACATCAAATGAAAATTGTATTTGATGTAGTGAATTCTGCATTTGATGTAGCAAATTCTCATTTGATGAGGTGGATTTGTGTTTGATGTGGTGAATACTATCTAATTAGACTAGCAAAAATCATACTTTAAAGGTATCTTTAATTTTCACATTTACTATCTTTAATTTTCAAGGCAATTGAACAGTTCCTGTTTGCAGTTAATGAGCGTAGCAACCATCACAGGAATGAAGATGTGGCCGACCATGAAACTGCAGTTAAATTCCTACATGCCAGAAAGTTTGAAACTGAGAGGGCTATATCATTATTCAGAGCACATTTGGTAATGTATCACATTCTCAAAAAGTAAATTTCTGATCTCATCAGTATTTTCTTAGAACTTTTTTCTTAGAACTTCCCACCTGCCCTTTTCAAACTAGTGAAAGATGTTTGATTGGTGTTGGTACACACTACATTTTGATACAACCACAGAAACTCACAAGGAAGAATATATTATAGATTATATAATAAAAGTGATGGGGGAATTCAACTCCTAAAATCAACTTATAGAGCAAGAGTAAATGGGGTTTTCAAGCTTTCTAGAAAAGTTCAGCTATTGAGATTATGGTAAATGTTTTTGACACAATATTGGGCTTTCTCTCCCAAAAAGCCAAACTTTTAACAGAATTGGATAAAATTATATATCATTTGATGCACAAGAATGTGGTGATTCCAACAATATCATAATAGTTGGCCAATATCGAAAAATGATACTTTCCAGGCAAATTTTTTGCTTAAATGAGTGTACCTCCTTCAAAAGCTATTTTTTACTCTTGTGTTTGGGGTAATAAAATCTGATTTTTATCAGCAGAAAAATGAAGATCTTAAGCTACCAAATTGTTTCTCAGTTTTTTCAAATTCCTCCTCCCTTTGAAACTATACCCTGTCAAAAATTGGTAGTCAATTTTCTACCCCCCAACAGTTGTTTTTGACTATAAAAGACTGACCAGAGCAAATACACAAATTTTGAGACACACTTTGTTTACCCGACATCTGTTCTGGTTGTGTGCAATTTTTGATCCATTCAACTGGTTTCTTGGGGAAAAAATAGCTTTTGTGTACCTGTAAGTAGAGGGATTGCGAGTCCGGAGAAAACAAGATTTTTCTGATCCCACTTGCAAGGTACACTAGTAACCACAGTGTAATCCAGATCAAGACATTTGAAGCTTAAAGATCAATAAGCTTGTTTAAATAAACACAGCCATACATGGGAAACATGGATGTGCCCTGGGATTGTAACTAGTTATTGTTAATGAGACATTCCACCACAACCTCAACTAAAAATGTTGATAAAGAAATTATGAAAACCTTCGTTTACATGGGATTTTTTCCTTTTTCAAAATTTCAATTAGTTTCAAACATGGTATAATTGTGTGCCTTGAAAGTTGGGCTACTAGGATGTAAAAAAAGAAAAAATGTGGTTTTCATCCAGAAAACATTTACTGTAACCTTAAGAGTTACTGTAACCTATTGATTATAATTGCTAGCCGCCCCCCCCCCCCACAATCATTGTCTAACTGCACTAAATTTCCTTCATAATAGTGTACTGACTGGTAAGCAATGCAATGGGCAGCTTTCATGTAATCTAACAACTGCTATAATGATATTTCATGTCACCTCGATATTCAGTACTGAAGTTAAAGGTCCTAGGGTCTGGTTTTTTCACGATGCCTAGTTATGCATGCTAACCTCCATGTTCTTCATCCCCCATTGGCACATACAGTTTTGCAAAGCAAGTAAAATATTTCAAATATAAAATTACATACATCAATTGATTAAGTGGTAAATGCTCATGCTATTTGTAACATAGTTGAATTCTCTTCTTCAGGCTGTATGTGAAAAATTTGATCTGTACCAATTAAATCCATTTGAAGAAAATTTGTCATCGGAATTGCTGTCTGGGAAATTTACAGTATTGGTAATCATTTCTTATATTTTCATAACTTTTTAACATCTTAGATATTATTTTAATTTGTATAGGAAAAAGTGGCAAAAGTCAGATTGCAACTGGTTATTAAAAGAATGAACATTTTAGAAAAATGGGTTTAGGGAAAATTGGGGACAATGTAGTTAGCCAAACAAATACCAAATGATTCTGCCAGACTCCTTTATTTGCCACTGATATAAACTAATTCACAAAGCATTGTAACAGCTGCTGTGTATTTTTAAACTGAAGAATTGAAAAATAATTAATTGGAATAAAAATAAAAATATAAAAATGATAAGATGAATTAAAATAATAATGATTGAGCAATATACATGGACATCAAAGTTGATTTTAAAACAGAAATAAAAGTTTTATTTTTTAATGATAACTGCTACTTGATTAAACTTTTTACGATGATCATTGAAAAACACTTTTTAACTTAAGAAAAATATTTAATGATTTGATGGATGCCCTTATGTGAATGAGTTTCCTTTTAATTGAACTTGCACATCAAATTCACAGATTCACAGATTATATATACATTTAAAGATATTCATTAATTTCATAAACTGTTAAATTTTTTCATGACTATATCATAAGGCTTCCGGGAACATCTTTTGCATTTAAATGTGTAATACATTTAAATTTAAATATCAATAAATGTTTTGATTATTTGATCCTTGAGCTATGTCTATGGAGTGCCATCCCTTTGTAAGTTTTTATGATTCATTTTTAGGCATAATTTCTCATTATTGTAATTTGATGTTTCTGCTATGAAGCTGAACAGGATAAGTCTAAGCAACAATCTAAGCATGCAGAGAAACATTTACATACCATTTTCACACATGAAGTTTAAAGTTAGTGTGTTATCTTTCTGCAAACAAGAAATGTAACATTTAACATTGATAACCTTTTCATAGAACTGTTTGTGTAATTTTTCATGTAACTGTAATTATTAATCCATTTACTGTTCAATACAAAATTTACTGATGATTACATAATAATTCATCTGGCATCTGTACAATACGATTTTGTCCCCATAAGTAAGATTGGCTCGCCTAAAGTGACAAGTTGGACACCCCTGTGTTAGAGGGACAAATGGTGGGAAATAATCTCTTGCATGTTCCCACAGTATTGTTTTTGCATGTTGTATTATGTTTCCTCATAACACAGGCCTAGATAAGCCATTGGGTTAATTTTAAGATGTTCCATTGCTTGATGTCAGGGTTGCCAGATTGGCCTTTTTCAGGCCAAATTTTCCAATTTTGGCCTTTTCTGAAGTTAAATTGCGTAGAAAATTTTTGTTTGGTCTATTACTTAAATTTGGCCTATTTAATATTATGAATTCATTCCTTAAACTTTAACACCCTATCAAAGTTACAAACAAATTATAAATTGAAAGAGAAATACTTTACAGTGTAAACTCAAATGTCAAATATGATCAGCTAACCTAACAATTAGCAAACTTCAAGGAATTCATTCGAAGGAGAAAAGTTTCTCAGTTTCTTGCTTGAGTTTGGAAATTATCTATAAGGCTAATGTGTATAAATATATCCTTTGCTTTGCACAGTGTATTTTTGAAGGATTTTTTAATTTTGTCTATTTATGTGCATTTTGGCCTGAATTTGTCACACATCTTGCCCTTTTTTGTAAATCCCATCTGGCAACCCTGCTTGATGTTTTGAGTCCAAAGTCAACTTATCAAATTGCATCATACCCTAAAACACAATTTCTTGAGTTTTATGCTTTGATATTCAATCCACCTTTTTTCATTCTATTATTTATTTTTATTTCAATTTGCCACAGTTCTCATTACAGTTCTAAGCCTTTATTTGTAATTTTTTACAATTAATTTCTTTATTTTAGTTTGGTGAAGATTTCACTGGTGCAAGTGTATGTCTGTTCACCGAGAGACTTCATTTCCCAAAGAAAACTACCCACAGGATTGTTCTTAAGTCTTTGATTTTCCAACTAAACGAGTTGATAGCCAGGTCAGTATCCAATTTACAGATATTAAGTTGTTAATGTTTTTAGAAATGTAAATCATACTGTTTTTAATTGCTTATATGTGGTGGCTTTTGATTTTCTAGTAGCATACAAAATGTGTCTCCTTAGATTTGATTTTTGCTCTTGTAGAAACCCAGGAAATGTTTTCTATTATGAGCACGTAAGGGGGATTTGTCCAAGACATTTTCATTGATGCCCTAAAAATGAATATCTACCAACATCGCTCCAATAAAGCAAATTCATGAAACAACAGCACCATGCCTTTCTTTAAAAGGTAAACATACATTTCTCCAACCCCTTCCTGACAATCAGGGTGCCAAAACCAACTAGGGCTGTTGACGACAGATATTTGTTGACTGACCCAAAGTGGTGCAAAATATTTGAACAGAGAAGGTTTTGTTTTATGTCTGATTCAGAGTTTTCCAAGTTCAGAGCCATCCAAAAGATACATTTTAGCGAAATTTTCCACCAAAAAAGTTAAATCGATAATCTGCTACCGAAAAAGTAAAGTTTTGTTTTGTTTTATTTGCAAGCAAAAAAGTGGGAATAAGTTGTCTTTAAATTCTATAAAAGTGGAAATAAGTTGTCTCAAACACACAAGACAAATTTTGCATTGAACCAACTAGTTTTAATCTTCATGTATGTAGTCAGCCACTTGAAAAGGCCTCTTTATATCTTTGATGGTGACATACAATACTTAGGCTGTTTCAAAATGCCCAAGTGATTATGGCGACCTTAATAAAGAAGATATTTACCTACACATTTATTGCATTTCAATATGTTTCACAATGTTTGCTTTTTTCAAAACCATTTTAAATTCTGTACAACAAAAGGATTGTTTGCAAATTTCAATTTTTTGTAAGATAATTTAATTTGACCTATTTTTCATTCTATAAATCTCATCCATTAGTCCTTTTAATATGCCTTTATTCATGGAAATAATAAAGTTTCTGAGTTAATAACAACACCTTTAATCTATATCGTAATATAAAGTAGATAACTTATTTGTTTTTCAGTCCTGGGTGGAGCTTAAAAGAGAGAAGGGGCTTCTTAAAAGAGAGAGGGGGCTTAATAGAGCTTGAAGTAAAAAGTATTATAAAAATATCCTTGTATATTATTTTGTTATAAAAATGTTTTTCAAATGTTCTCAGAAAACTTCGCTGGCAGCCTCGAAGTTCTAATAAATCAATTATAAGGTCCTCGTCTTTATTAAAATCACTAGGATCAATTGATTACCCTGACACATCTTCTAAACAAATTTCGACTGACTTTTTAGGCGCACAAGTAAGTCTTTACATGGGCCGTATTTAACGGACACGATTTTCTTATCCTTGCACCCGTTAAGAGACCCAGTAAATGCGCATGTTTTCCATGTTTGACAACAAAGGCTAAAGAGGGGAGGGGCTTAGTTGAGAGTGGGGGCTTATTTTAAGGTTTGGCTTGATAAAGAGAGGCTTAATAGAGAGGGGGCTTAATAGAGAGAGAGGGTTTAAAAGAGAGAGGGGGTTTAAAAGAGAGAGGGGGCTTAGTAGAGCTTTTACGGTACCTTTTCTTTTAAAGGCATGACACACAAAGAAAAGGTATTGTTCTCATCTATGACATGACGAAGGCTGCCTACCGAAACTTTGATTATGAGTTGTGCACGAAGACTTTACGCATACTAAAGGTACTTAACCTCCTTTTTTTACATTATAAGTCTTACAGTTCAGGGACTATTAGAATTTAGTCACCAAAGCCTTGCTTGTGAAAATCTTTGTCTATTTTTGCATTAGATTGACAAGGACAGTTAATCGATGCAAGATGTTTTCGTCAAGAAGTGGATTGGTTTATAGATTTATTTAACTCGGTCAATGCCAAAAAGCTGCTTTAACGACCCTATTTCATTTTTCTCGTTGTTATGAATATTATTACTGGATTTCAGCAGAAGATCAGGTTTTACATCAAAATTTTACGAAAGGGTCAGAATAACATTAAGATGACAGTGGACTTGAATTCAAGCTACTAAACGCCGAGATAGTACCAACAATGTTTCTTGCCCTTTTCAAATGATAGTAAACAAGGCCTCAATGCTAGTGGCTTTAACTCAAATCATAATGATTGAACTTGTGTTGTGCCTCAAGGCACATTTTTAGGGCTACTGCTACTTACTTATCTGCTTTTGTGTTACGAGAATCAATATTACGCGCTTTTGATATTGATTTTTCGCGGACATAAGTTTACAACGTCAATAGTGATGAATTCAAACTGCAAATTCAGATTCCGTCGAACTGTTCTTGACTTGTCTATAAACCCGTAAACGTGAAATTATGATATACATCGGAGGCATTATCAATATATGAAAATTTACTTATTTTATGGTAATCCAGTGCGAATCAGTGCTGGTCCGTTTTAGAGATATCAGTTTGAAAAAACTTTTTGTCGAGGGCATGGATTGAATACGGGAATTAGCTAGGATTGTTATCAAGAAATGCAATTTATCTAATGATGCGAAATATTTTGCAATTAAACGATTATTGTTTTGCAAGGAAATGTTGCTTGATTTCTAAAGAATTAATTTCTTTATCACAGGGTGCTTTTCCTGCAAGGTTAAAACATGTGTACATCCTGGCAGCCCCGCTTTGGTTCAGGGCCTCGTTATCAATTCTCTCGAATTTTGTTGGTGAAAAAATCACGAGCAGGGTAAGTGCTTGATTATGATGATGTTTACTCAGAAAATGTAAACAGAAAAAAGAGGAACAGAAAATGTGAACAGAAAAAGGGGAACAGAAAATGTGAACAGAAAATAAAACTTCACACTACACACGACACTACAAGTCGGATGGCGTAAGGATTCTAGAAAGAGTTTTAACATTTCACTGTAGAATATTATCTGAACCTATTTACAAGAATTGCAATTCTCAAAGACATTTTGTTGAACATAATATTGGAAGAAGTTGTGGTTGTTCAAACTGGAACATTTCTTAGATTGCAACTAACTGAATTAACATGTCGATAAGATATATGCTCAATTCTGTTTTCGATCAATGCGCCCCATTTTGCTCATTGGACTCGTTTTTATAAAATACCCACAGGTTCAGTTCTTTCAAATATGTATAATTTATTTCCCTGAAAATGTGTAAGATGACGAATAGCTCGTATGAGCTTGTTTTTTGAAATTTAAATTTTGCGCTGTTTATGTTTGTGATTCGAAATTATAAAGAACTTAATTTGAATAAGCCATGATTCTAGTAAAAATTGATGGCGCGTTATTCTTAAGATTCAGTCAATTCAAGGTCGGAAACAAGCAGCTCACAATAAGTGAGTATTAACAAACAATTTAGAGTTGTATTTATTGTCCGATACTCTGAGATTGAAACCGTCCTTCCGATTAGCAGTCATCTTCTAGTTAGTTCATGATTCATCCATTCAGCTGAAGCTAAAGGTTCAACATTTCAACGAACTATGATAAAAAAGGATCAAAATCAGATAAAAAAGGTGTTTACTAAAACTTTTATGTTCAAATGGGCCTTTTTAGAAGCTCAACTCGCTAAATTTGTTTGTAAACAACCTCGGCTCGTACTGCAGCCTTGTTTGCTACAAAATCTCAATATTTCGTTGTCCGTTTGCAGGTTGAGACATTAAAGAAGACTGAAGATCTGCTTTCGCGAATTCCGGCGTCGACGATCCCTGTGCACCTTGGCGGTACCAGTGAGCATGATCATGATATGTGGCTTGAAATCTGCGTAAGCAATTACCTCAGGTAAGTGGTACGGAAAAATGTCAGTTATGAGGATCTTCCAGGGGGAAGGGGGAGGGGGCGAGCTTCTTGTTCTCGTGGTTCCTTTTAAATGTAGGCAATGTTCCAGTTTTTTCTTTGGAAAGAATATTTCAGTTTTTATTCCAGATTTAGGACATTTTTCTTTTAATGTGGTTAGTTAACGTGAAAGCTGGTTTTTTCAGGAAAAACGAGGCAAGTGCCCGCAAGAACAATCAGATTGAAAGAGGTTTTGGCAAGACAAAGAGTTTTGCTGATAGATTACGAGAAGCAGCGGAGGAGGATCGAGAAAGAGAACAGATTCGCGTTGATGGCAGACTGAATGTAGACGAGTTGGTGAATTATATGAATTCAGTTGGAAGGCGTGGGATATACGACGAATATCTTTGCATACAGACTGTTCCTCCCAGTGGAAGATTCACTCATTCAAAGTAAGACTATTTCGTCTTTGGTTTCGAGGGTTGATTATTTTTTGTTTTCATAATCTCAGAGAAGAAAATCTTAGGAAGAACATTTCTGAGAGAAGTGTCTGACTTTGAGTGAAGAAAATTTTAGTACTCCTGTTTTTATCGTAATTGTTGTGAGAAGTAAATTTTCTACTGTATTAGTGCTTGTAGTATAGTGATGCTGTGCCAGCATGTCATCCGCCCGCGTAAACCTACATGATGTCGACGCACATATAACGCTTGGCTGGCAACTGTAGGGTGCCTGCAGGACGCCTGTATGACGCATGTGGGCTCCCAAGACTTGGGTCAGACGAAGAGATAAAAGGGGAATCTTGTTTGTCGTGAATAGGAATTTGGAAAAGTTCAAAAAACTGTTCGTATCAGTCATTCCCCTTTTTCAGTACGGCCTTATTTCGTTTAGTCTCTACCGAATGCCAATTGGAAGTGAGGATGAATATTGCTCCCATTGTAAGTAGGGAACTTCCGGCCCTGTTTCTTCCATTATGAAGCATGTCCTCTGCCCTCTCTGTCCCCATTCAAATGAGCTCAAGATCGTTTGCATCACATATTAGTCCATGATCTTTTTAATCTGTTCACTGCGCTGATCGTGATCTTTTAAAATAGCAAAGCGTTCTTGGAATCATCTAAAATGAATTTCCTGGCTTGACAACTCATTCAATGAGCCTGCAATTAATTCCAAACAACCTGCTAACAAATCTTGTTATAAGAAACTTATCTGTTAGCCACCAGCCTGGTTTGTGCAACGAAGTGAAGTCTCCACTATAAGACACCACAGAATGACGGTTACATCTAAAAAACCGGCACCTGACACCTATCAACGGACACCTTAGAATGACGGACACCTTTTAGTAACGGACACTTTAGAATAACGGGCACCTACCTATACAAACGATAATCTCAGAATGACGGGCAATAATGAATAACGAACACCACATATTGTTAGATTGCTATGAATAACGGACACTTCAGATAGACGGACACCTCTGAATAATGGACATATCATAGAGATGATGAACACCTCTGAATGACAAAACATCCTAATACAACGGCAAGTAGATTTCTTTCCTTTTGTCAAAACCCGCCACTAGTAACCTCAAGCAAACATAGCATAGCATATCAACAACGAACCTCCATGCTATAAGGATGCTTCTTTCCTCGAATTATAAATACACTTCTTTACATAAATCTATATTCTGTAACTTTATCTAAGAAAGTCTCTACCTAGTACAAGATATGATATAAATTTGAATTTATATTCCTCAGTGTAATATGAAAGTATCTATCACTTTATGTGGTTAAAATCCTTCAGGATCTCCAAGTACTTCGGTTTTTAAGTAACTTTCAGGCTAAGCGAACAGAAATCTCTAAAACTAGACAATATGTCTAGAGAGATCAATATGTTTGAGAGAGGCAACACATTGCGTTATACAGTCGTAGTACTCGCCATTGCAAATGCTTAGACTTTTACTCTCTGATCGACTGGTTTCCAGCTGGAAAGGCTACGATATATGCAATCTACCATCGTCCTCCCACATGTAATGTCTTGTTTCTCGTACTTGGGTCATATTTTCAGTTTGAAATCCCCGTTCAATTTGCCACTCGGTAGCACTTTCCCTCGACCATGAACGGCTTTATCGCTATTTCTGGCTTCAAAATGGAAATTTCCTTCACGGATCTGTCTACTGCAGGTTGATGAAACGTCAATTTTCTGTTAATTCCAAGATTAGCATCACCAGTGTGTCGATTATAATTAGGTCAAAACAGTTGGATATGAATGCTTAATGTTTCATGTTTGAGACGAAATCCTGTATTATATGCATATTCTAATGATTGTCTTTCCTTATTCGCTCTAATCATGATTCTCAAACAGTGTTGGCTCGAACACCCTGCTGATGTAAACGCGAGTTAATAGACCTTGTATTCAGATGGGGTCGCATTAACATGGCCTACCATAGAATGAATGCTTCACAATATACATATGCTTCAAGGATGTTTTAGACAGTTCTGTGTTCTGTCTCTTTAATTACAGAAAGCTTATATCTTTGGCCGACTATCAAGCCCGTAGCCAGGCCTGTGGAGTAAGGGTGGCAAATCCCCAGACCTGTTGCAGGCAGACGCTTCAGCAAATCTTTTTTCAAGTTTTGCTTAGAAACGAAAGTTTTTTTGAGCGCCAGGCACTATCTTAAGAAGCCCCAATAAGCATAATATATGGGTAACATATGGATGATAAGAGATCCAAATAAACAATTCTCTTGCTTCAGAGATGGCATTGCCACCCCATGCCGCCCCTTGGCTACGGGCTTGCCGACTATTTTCGTCCTTGATGTTACTTCAGCTGTATCAGGCATTGCTCAGACTAGTAGCAACGAGTTCAAGATACTATTTGCTAATATCTAGTGTCAGATCTTCCAAATCCCTATCTATCGTTCATCGCATATGCAAATTTACAAACTTTTTTGGCGGTACCAAATTTAAGGGCAATTGTAGAAATGGCCTAAACAATCTGTCAATCAATATGAGCCAATCAATAAGCGTGTGAGTAGATTCACATTCACTGATTGATCAATTTTCTATTGAAAGCTGGCTAAAGCTCCTTAAAACCCTGGCAAAACGACTAAACACTTCACTTAACATTTCACTCAACTTTTGTTTAGTGAAGTTAAGCGGAGTTTAACAAGAGTGGCAAAACGTGACTAAACTTTTCACTAAACTTCACTCAACTTTGTTGAACTGCGAGCTGTCTATGACGCTGTTGGGTTGTAGGGGATCTTGCATAGGAATTTGCTTTTGGTTTATTTTGTTGCATGCACAAGCAGTGGATAAAAATAAGAATTGGATGAAGCAACGAGGAAAGAAAAGACTTTTTAGCACATTGACCAGAAAGTTGACTGTTGAAGAAGACACAGTGGCGTACAAAGAGATATGCAGATGTCTCATAAAGGCTTTTTTTGGTCACGTAGAGACAGGAAAACCAACGAAAACAGACGAAAACCTTCTGATTTCCACAGCTAGTGCGCCTGCGCGATCACAACAAATGTTTAATTGGTGGCGAAACGACTAAAAATTTGCTAGACAACACTAAACAACGCTAAACATTTTTTACCAGGATCGAACTTTGCTCAACAACACTCAACACGACTGAACAACACTAAACAGGGTGGCAAAACGACTAATCTTTTCATTAAACTTTTGGCTAAACAAAAGTTGAGTGAAATGTTTAGTGAAATGTTTAGTCGTTTTGCCAGGGCTTTAGTATCTGTCGATTGCCTTTACTAATGGTATTGAAAAAAGCAAGTATTTTAAGACATTCAAAAGTTTTTCATTTCACTAAGATAGATACCCAGCTGTGGATCGAAATAGGCCAATTAGAAACGCGAGTACATGACTGTAAAGGTTCCCGGATCAGTCCTGCTTGTCTATAGGGAAAAATATGGAATCCAAGAATGGAAGCCAACCCTTTTTTGTTTACACAATAGTAGTGTTTTCATTTTCAATGTAGATAGATCCCAAAACTGCTAGATAGAACAACGATTGGGCTCGGCCAATTATTCGAAGCATGTCGCCATTATATTATTCAATGGTACAATCTGGTTTTTCGAACAAATGTTGCCCAAAAGCAGAATCACAACATTTTGGTAAATTTTGTAAACCAATAAGACCCAGGAGACTGTAATTTTTTTTTTTTGGGGGGGGGTTCGTTTCTTATTTTGGAAGTGGCATGCTGTTGTATTCTATCCCTCAATCATTATGCAACTGTTGTCAAAAAGCTTTGCTCGATGACCTTACATCCAGTACATCATAAGCATCAACTTCCAACTTTGTTTTTATTTTCTCTTTCAGGCACCCTTTCAACTTTAATAAAAATAGATACAGAGATGTACTCTGTTACGACCATTCGAGAGTCAAGCTCAAAGTGATTGGTGAAGATGATGTGAGTGATGATGTAACGAAATTCATCGAAATATTTCTTGTTTCACCATGCTGCCAGATTTCTTGATTTAATCTGTGCGTTGCCAGATATCAGAAGCCAATTACGATAGCCTGCCCCTCAGTCTACAAATGCTACCACAGTCTACAATGTTGATAAATATCCTGTCCATCCAGAGGGAGGGCTGGGTCTAGTTTATGAGAATAATTTATGCATTAAAATCATTGAAATCTTGCATGAAAATCCACGAAGGAATATGCACTGAAACCAAAAAACAGGGCGTAGATACAATAGTGCATGATGAGTTTAAAGTCTATGAATTGAACAAAGAAGGCTGTGTACAAATGAATACACCATGTGGAATAACTCAGGACATTGAAATAGGCGAGAATCTTTGGCAAGGCACAATATTAGCAGCCCCGATATGTGCAAATCACATTGATAAAGGAATAGAACCTATATTAAAAAAGAGACTAGGAATACGATATGGAAGGATGGTTATCCCACCTTTGTTGTATCAAGATGATATTATGTTTGCATCTATTTCAGTAGAGAAAATGCAACAAATGCTGAAAATAGTAGAAGAATTTCAAAAACAAAATCTACTAAACTTTAACCTTGATAACAGTGAAAGAATAGAAATAATGAATTTTAAAAACAAACAGAATAAAGACCAAGGTAGGAAACCAAAGCTAAATGAGGCAACCCAAAAAGAGGTGAGCAAATATAAATACCTAGGAGAAATAAAAAATAGCAGAGGAACAGTAGAGGAATGCATTAATAGCTGGACAAATTCAGCAAAGGCAATCATTAATGAAATAAAAGTCTTAATCAGCCAACCAGCATTCAAAAAAACAAAGCATGGAAATAAGCATAAAACTGATTGAAAGTGTACTTATCCCTAAAATCTTATATGGGTGTGAAACATGGACTAATACGAACAAAAAATTTTTAAAAATCCTTGAAAATATACAAAAAGATGCGATAACCCTAACAACTTCAATACCAAAATCAACACCCTATCAAGGCCTACTATATGAATGTGGACTTATGCCAATGGTTTATCGAATAAAACTAAGAAGATTTTTGTACCTACATAAGCTGATAAACATGAAAGAAACACGTTTAACAAAACAAGTATACCAAGAACAAAAGCACCTGAACCTAAGAAATTGCTGGTATGATGAAATAATGAATGACTTGATTGAACTAAATAAACAACACTCAGAAAAACAAATTTCAGATCTATCAAGGAAAGATTGGAAAAAATAGTAAAAAGCAAAATTATAAAGAGGATAGAGAAGCAGGTTAAGAATAGCGATAAAAAAACGAGGTTCATTGAAAAAGGCAATTTTGGAATAGAAGAATATATAAAACATAAAAAAGGACCAACGTTACTAAAATTGAAACTTAACATGACCGATTTAAAAGCTAGCTACAAAAGAAAATATGATAGTATCAGTTGCAGAAGGTGTGGATTCCATGAAGAAAACATAGAACATTTAAATCAATGCGAAAAATTCAAATGACACCTTCCAGAAATGAAACAAATTCTAGAAAGCAACGCAAAAGGCCTGATAAAAATCGAGAGATTGGTTGAACTTTTTCAAATCTATGTGAAGATTAGCCTGTGGTACTATACTACACACGACATCTTTCTTGGCAATTCTGTGTTTATTTCCAGCTGATTGCATAATTTTAGAGGGTTGCATAATTTTAGAGGGTTGTATAATTTTACAGGGTTGCATAAATTACCGCCAGATTCTGCTGGAAACGCGGACAGGATATTTATCAATTTTGCACATTTGTGGACTGATTTTATCATTCTTTGTTTTTAATTTGTTGTTGTAAGAAGCATTTTTGTCTTGTAGTTCACTGATTACATCAATGCAAGTTTTGTAGACGGCCACAACTGTCAAAATGCGTATATATGTACACAAGGTATTGAAAATTACTAAATATTTTCATCTGTGAATGTATTATGATATTTTTTCAATATTGTAATTACTTGTGTAGACAAGAAGGCGATGATCAAATAAATGAATAGTCAAAGATATTAGTAAATGGGTTAATATTAGTAAATGTTAGTTAAGGATGTAAGATGACATGCTAATGTAAGATAGTATCAGGTCATATTGATATTCATGCCTATGCATTTTGATTAAATTCGAAAGAACAGATTGCCGTTTAAGCTGGTTTTTTCTAAACTTCCTCATTCAATAAAATAGTAGTGATACTTCAGTAATAGAAATAATTAGGAAATGTTTCTCTTTTCTAATTAGAATTTGCAATCTGAAATAAAGAATGCAGCGTCAGCTTGATTTGCCTTTATTTTGAAGTGATTTATAAATATTTTACAGATTTACTTGTCTTGCCAATTTGTTGATATTAACACATCCACAAAATTCTAAAAGAGTTTTTTTGGTCTGTTGCTTCAATTTGATGGAAATACCGTATAAAAGTATTTTTCGTACATTTAGTTTTCTTGCATTAAAATCCCAGAGTTTGAATTTCGCTTTGGCAGTGTTTGTAGTTTTATTATTTATGGCTAGCATAAGCACCGTCTTTTCAATTCGAAGAAAGATAATAAAACTACAAAGAAATTGAACTTAATTTAATCAAAAATATTCTTGGTCCGCTTTTTATAATCTTCTACTGAAGCAACCGGTCTATCATACATTGCTTGATGCCGTACGGGTACATTTCTACGCAGAAAGTTGGGTAATGATCGTAGCTAGTGAGCCTGAATCTCCAAGTTGCAATTTAGAACCGTTCTTTTTGACATACCACAGCGTAACCTTTTATTTATTATTTCACAAACATGCTGAATTTATATGAATTTTCTCAGTCTTTGCATAGGAAACATGTGTAATTTATGCTGTTACATGAGTAATTTGTTATGATTTTGACGATGTCTATTGTAATCCAAAGCATAACATTTGGTGATGCTTTCAAAGGCTGGACATTTCGGGAGAGCTGGAAAGCGGGTATTTTTTGAATGAATTTTCATTGTGCCTTTCACGCATGAATTTTTTTTTAATTTTCAAAGGTCCTTTACCAAACACAGCTTTTGATTTCTGGAGGATGGTTTTAGAGCAAAAGCCAAATGTCGTTCTTATGCTTTCAAGGTGAATTTGTCATCTATTTTCAATTGTTTAGAAAAATGCAATGCATGGCTCATTATTATCTGTTGGTATTGAATGTAAAATTTCCCATTGAGATACATTGAGATATATGTTCACCATTAGGTATTAATTTGTTTGAGAGTTGTATTGCTGGTAGAGGGAGGGGAAGCCTTGGTAGAGGGCAGTAGGAGCTATGTCGGGAAATATGTAGGTTAGGGTAGGAATGGGTCAGTGGGTCAGTGGTAAAACTGAATTTCATTTTATGTCTATATTTTAGGCCTGTTTAAGAAGAGACTTATCCTTACCAACAGCATAGTGTTATAAGGCAGCCAGTTCCTTTTCTCTGTGCCTTTCCCTCCCCCAGTAAATCCATCGAGTAAAGGTAAAATCGAGGTATTAGAATATTGTAACTCAATTCTTACTGCAATTTTTCAAACGACAGTTAATGATTAACGATGCTAATCGACTGGGAAACTGTTGATATTGTCGGTTACTTTTCTCAGTTTCAATTTCATATTCTAAAAATTCCACTATATACACTTCCAGCAATACAAATTAAACAGATATTCCTAATACAAATGGAACAAAAATATAATTAATATATAAATCTAACTAAATATAACAAAGAAATTACGTTGGAGATACGATAGATTCTAAATTCAATTTATAATTACGATAAAAGGGGAACTGTATGCAGGGAATTTCTCAAGGAGGGTCTCTCAGTAGTTAAGTTAATCGAGGTGAGAACACCCTCTGTTTTGAAAATAACTATTGAAAATTGCAAATAATTTCAAAGGTTATGTAAATTTTCAGAAACATTGACTTTTCTATAGTTTATAACACTTTTGTGGATTGCTTAATATTGTACCGATGTTTATTATTGTATCATATCATTTTTAATAGATGTTTTGAGCGCGGAAGAGAAAAGTGCTTTCGATATTGGCCAGAAGAGAAGAAGTCGACCAGATTTGAATCAATAACAGTGCAGAATTTGGGGGTTGTAGAGTCTACTGATTACATAGTTAGAAAGTTAGAGGTGCAGTCGAAAGAGGTGAGTTTTCAACATTATTTGAAGTTTCCGTTTTGTTTGTGATGTTTTTTTTTAAAAATTGACCAATACTGGCAGCAAATGCTGCAAATGAAACCAATATGGTGCTAACAACTATTGTGAAGACCAGGTTGGCAATAAAACCCTCGTATTTAGGCTACAAATGAAATTTGATTTTGCTAATTTTATGCTTTCCATTTTTTTTATTTTTAACAAAGTCCCTTTTCTAATGTTCATGTATAGATCCCATCAAATGGATTTGTGAGAGAGTCGGGTATTCACGGCACACTTTGTTTGATTTCTGTTCAACAAAAAAAGTAGCTCTCCTGAGCTAATTAAAAATAGGCCATCTCGGATAAAAAAATGTTCAGGCAATCACCCAATTTTTAAGAATATTATATATAAGAATATTGCTCAGCCTCAACTCACATATTTGTGTGTCATTTGTCAGAAGATGCCTGTTTTACCATGTCCATAACAGAGAATCGCATGACTGATATTTATCGCCTTTTCAAAAAATGCGGTTTCTATTTTAGGGTGTGCGATGCTCCTCTCTACCATATTAGAACTGAAAAATATTAAGAATACTTGAAGAATATTATCAAGTTCAAAACGATAATTTCTTAATGATATCGAGGCTGGGAAAAAATTATAGTATTATTATATAAAATGACTTTGAGTCGACCGTCAACGCTAGATGAAACCAGGCCAGATGTTTGAGCTTTAAATAAAGATAGTCAATCTAAACTTAGGTGCTTAATATGTTAGAAGATGTAGGTATGCTTGTTCAGTTTGGCAACTGTGATTTTTTCCTTCATTCATATCGATTCAGATAAAACTTGTCTTAAAGTGGTTTAAATATTGCTGTACTCCGTTTGATTTTTTCATGAATTTTTTATGAAGTCAAATTCTTATCATGTCAGTTTCGATTTTTGAAGCAAAATTGTCAGAATTTCGCCGATAAACCACCGAATTAGTGCCTCAGTATAACTAGTACAATGTTTTTCTTTGAAATTATACATAAACTTATATAACAGAATGATTTGACCTAGCAAGAAAAGTGTTTCCTATAATTTCTGAAATTTCCTCTCTCTTGCATACTTATCTGCTTCTTTCATCAGCTATATTAGTGGACTTTTTACAATTCAAGGCGAAGATTTCTACCTTTGTTTTCTTAAAGCAATGTGTTACTTTTTTCACTCATAAAGTGATCAATGGTTGCCTTTCTCAAACACTGTTATGGTATTTGTATCGAATCTCTTAGTGGCATCAGCATTTTCGATTAAAGCATGAAGATTATAGGATTGCAAAGATTTGAAACCATTTGACGAAATTTTGCCATTGTTTTATTGGCCTTTTATTCAGGGATGTAGTCGCAAAATTTTAACAAGGGGGGCTCCATGAAATTTTTAAGCTATTTTTGTCATGTAATAATTGCAATTTAACATGACGTGGGTTGATGTTTTTTCCGATTATTGGTTGAGCAGCCAGGTACATTGATGGTTTGAGCGGCAGCTAAGATAAGAACATTGATACCATGAGAAGGGGGGAACTTCATTGCAAGTGAGGAGGCAAGATATTTATGTATATTGCTCAGGGATGAAAACCGCTACCATGGTTGGCAGCGAGAAAAAGTTTGAGATTTGAGATTCTAAAGGGTGAAATACACTATGCATTTAAATGGATTCAATTAAATGGATAGCTGGAAAATAGACAGTGTAAACGCAAAATTGGATGTCAAAATAGCTGTTTCGACAAAGTGAAATTGAGATGCAAAATTAACGAGCCTTGCTTAGCCGAGTTAACGAGTCTGGTGTCGATTTTTTAATATCAAATTCAACAAGTTGTAAGAGCTCATCGATATGTACGCAAAATATTCTCAAGAACCTTTGATATTCGACACTTTTTCCAGACGAAATTCTTGCAAAAGTGTGTTATCAACTCCTAGCTCATTTCTTTGGGTCAACCAGGGCTTAACCCAGACGGGTTTTTGTTGCCTATTTAATTTTTTGCACATACGTTTTCGTTTTTTATAAACAATTGCAATCATGGTGAAAGCAACATCACATTCCTCATTGGAGTGCATGATGAAAGGAGGGGATGCTTTAAAAAAACTGATTCAATTTAATGGATGAGTGTAAACGGAGACATTTTTCATTTAAATGGACCGTTCATTTTATCGAATCCATTTAAATGCAGAGTGTATTTCAGCCTTAAGAATGGCCAGAAAAAGCATTTAGAATATTTATAGCATCGATAAGGGTGCACTTTCTTTTAAAAATTAATGACCCATTGATTGGATTTTGAATTGACACATTTTCTCGTGTGTTGACAAAACAGGAATTTTCTATCTATATATGTCATATTTTGTGTATGTTTTCATGCATATGAAGTTTGCAATGCTTTAAATCTGTCAGTTGTTCTCTTTTCTTTTTCTGGTTTAATCGTCAAGGGCTGACCTGTGGTGAAGTAACAATTCTTCACAGCTTTCTTTGCGTTACATGACTCTTCGTTATATCCAAGCACAAAGGATGGAGGGCTGCTCCCCCACTTTTTTCGAAAATTTAACCAAGGGGGCTGAGCCCCCTAGAGCCCCCTACCACTACATCCCTGCTCTTATTGGTATTCACCGACGAGTCTCTGTTTGGTGTCGCTGTCGGATTGCTTTCATCTCACATTCAGAACTGTTTCGCTTGAAAACACAATACCTTATTAGCAGTGGCGTCGCTTGACCTTCAGACTAGGGGGGTGGAGGGTCATATAATAGAAAAATTTACCGACAAAGACACAGATTAAGATGAATTTAGGTACTATTTCACCTACTTATAGCTGATTTTACCAAAAAATTAAGGGTTTTATAGACAAACAGAAGATTTGCCGACGAATCCATGAAGAATTGCGGAGTGTTACACGCCCTACAGTCCCCGCTAGCTACCCCCCTGCTTATTGGTGCTTTTCTATGTAGCCAGGGCCTTTTTAGCAAAGATAGCTAGAAAATTCTTTTGAGTTGACAACCCCTTCAGAGTTCTGATGATATTCATTATTCACCAGGGCCTTTAATGGTTAGTGAGGGTAAATGTTGTGTTATTGAAGAATAGATCCCCATGATCGCCATATTTGGACTTTGTGTTTGATAAAGGTAGAAGAGAAACGGGAAGGTGATTTCTACACACATAGAGTAGCAAGATGGATTGCTGTACTTTACAGCGGAAGAAATCTTGTTGTTTAGAAACCGCTGCAGTAATCATTACGAATTTTGTACCCTGGGTGCCAGAGCCTCAGAGAGTCAAAGGATGAAGAACGGGGGAAGGAATTGCGAAGGAGATTGGAATAGTAAAAGGGAGAGTCTCTCCCCTTTCCTCTTCAATTCTCCTTCGCATTTCCTTTCCCCCGTTCTTCATCCTTTGACTGTCTGAGGCTCTGGCACCTAGGGTACGAATATTGCAAAATCAGCTGGGGTAGCTGAGAAATTCTTACGAGAATATTTTATTAAAGTTATTGGGTCCATATTAAATTATTTCTAGAGTAATAGTAACGAGAAGGGTTGCTTTGCGTCAGATTGGAGCTAAAAATGCGCGGAAGTTTATAATCATTTTGACCTCTCCAGTTTCGCTTCCCAAGATACAATTTTGCTTGATGCAGCCCTCAATTAACGAGTATTTGTGTATGCATATTATTTTCTCAAAAATTGTCGTGGCAATAAAAAAGTTACCAGAAAGAAAAACAGGGGGAGACCAACTCTGTTACTTCGTTTAATATATTTTGGTAGCCTATGGGCACTATGTACATATTTTTTACAAGAATAAAGTCTATATAAATATTAAGACTTGGACTCAAAATTGCTTAAATTTTTATTATTATCAAAGGCTCAAGCTTATCAAAGGCTCAAGCTTGTCAAAGGCTCAAGTTATCAAGTTATTATTATCAAAGGCTCAAGTTATTATCAAAGGCTCAAGCTTTAACACCAAGTAATTTTTTGTTTATTCGAGTTTTTTCGAAAGCAAAACAAATGTAATATGTTAGCTATATGGCGAATTTACATCTTGTGTTGCTAAAGAATAATTTAAGAAGAATCTTGGGCTGAAAAAGCTAAGAATATTAAGACTCCGCAAAAAATTAGGTTTTCTTAAAATAGTGTGTGCTAGAAATGAGAACATCAGTTTTTACCGTTTACCACACGAAACTTCCCACATCAGTGTCAACCAAAAACAAGGAAGGAACTTTATTGCTGATGGGAATTTGAGATCGTTTCAAGCGGAAAAATTTGATTCGCTGCTACCTTATAAGGTAGGAATCTAGTGTAGGAAGTGTTTTGTTCGAGGTGGGTTCATTCAGCACCCGGATGTTCTTCGTAGCCTACTGACAATAGCAAATCCAGCAAAGAAGAAGTTAATTGTCAAGAGTTATTGGTTATGGTCATTTTACATAAATTTTACATACGTCAAAATGTTTCTCGTTCCAACGAGTATACTGCCAGGACAAAAGTATTGCAACACCTGCGAAGGCGATTAATGGCGGATCATGCAACAATTGTTGTTGTTGTCCGATTAAGCTATTGTTTAATCAGTTTAATCGAATATTCCATTTTAATTTTTGAAAATTTTAAATCAATAATTCAAGTAACTTTTAATTAAACAAATATTTTGTGGAGGTGCTTCTTGCTCTGATAAGTGCGGAAAATTGTTTTGAAATTGATGCACAAAATTTGTTGATGAAATGCACTTGGATTCTCCTTCATTCTCTATAAACTCTCAGTTCTTGGTTGGACCTTAGAGAACCTTGTGGATTTCAAATCAGATCATTTTCATTGGCAACAAGAAATTTTTGCTTATTTTAAAGTTAGGTCTTTGTGATGACCGAGGAAGGACATAGAGTTGGCAGATTTCCAGGTAAATTTGAGTAAAAATGGCCTTGTAAGGGGGATGTATTGTTTTTTATGAAAAGGACTGCCTTCCTCATTTCACTAGGATTGATTTGATTCCACCAAAGAGGGTCTTTTGCATTATTTTGACACATTTCACTGCATGAACTCGCTCGTCGCTAGTTGACGATCTACCAATTTATATGGGCCTAACTGTACTCAAAAGAATTCCCAAATTTGAGTTGGAAAATTTCGGGGCTAAAGGAGTCGGGAATATTGACTTCATTTGCTGTTTCTTGATCTCTAGCTATTTTGCTTTCATTTTCTGTAAAAAGTCTCGAAATCTTTGAATTAAAAGACCAGTTACACAAAGCTTTATCACAGCTACTACATATAGCTCCTTATCCTGTTAATATTTTGATTTTACCACGGCAGATATTTTTTCTTGTAATTGTATAATTTTTTACGTTAATATTGTAATTTTAGGTATTTCGAAATCGTCAATAAATTTCAAAGAATTTGACTACTGGTTTAGCATGATTTTTTTCGACGCCATTTTCATTTTGGTGTTGCAATACTTTTGTCCTGGTACATACATTCTTATTTTTTGCATTGGGGAGAGAAAAAAGCCAAAATATCTTGTATAAAATACTACAATTAAATTTTTTCAGTACATTGATTGAAAACTTGAGAATTTTTTCGTTATAGTGTGAAGAAAGAAATGTACTGTTAGTTTAGTCAATACGGGAGCGTTGTGGCTAGGCGGGACACCGCAAAATTTCCTCCCGGTGGGCCCCTTTAAAATGAATTTGTAAAAACCTGGAAAATATTTGATTTGATCAAAATCCTTGGTGAAAAAACCCCTCATTTACATTCGGAATTAGAGGAAGTCAACATATACAAGCAGACCCTTGTGAAAGAAATGCGTGGAATATACACAGGGCCGCGGAGAGGGGGACAAGGAGCGGGCAAACTGCCCCAGGGCCTCGAGGTCTAGGGGGCCTCTTAAAGCAATGAGTTCCAATTTAAGAACTGGATTTTAACGAAACGCAAAATGTATGCCTAAAAATTGTAGAACGTGGTAAACGACTGCAAAAAACATTCTGAAATGTACTCCAAGCTAATTTAAAGGGCATGCCCGCAAACAATTTTTGCTCCCTATGTTGCAGTGCACGTAAGTGTTCTGTCGCGTTTGTGTTTGTACATTACAGCATTAGATTTGTTCCACATTTTTTGCAGTCTTAAAGAGACTATGGTTAGAGAAAAGGGGATACATCCCAACAAATAAAATTTTTCGTCTATAAAACTGGCGTCTATATAACTTTTCGCTGGTGCATGCTTTCCAGGTACGTTTCATTTTTGGCGGCCTGTGGTTTATGATTGAAGATGTCATACAAAAGAGCGGGCCCCCTTATTATTATTTTCTCCCGGCCCTCTTCTAGAAGCCACAACGCCCCTCGTCAAATACGATACTTTGTTTAATGTTATGTCATTTCAGTTGCATGAAAATGTTTTCTAAAAAGGATCAAACCCCAAGTGCTTGCCAAATTTTGACAATCCAACAACTTTGTCTCAATTTTAATTTTTTTCCCTGAAATATCACATTTACCAAACGATATGAAGGCCAGTCTTATTGACATAAGGATGCTTAATTTTCCTTCGCGACATCTGACGAGGACGTCACGTTTAGGTTGCCCTATCCATTTTTTTTATCTTGTTGCGCATTTTAAAAAAGTATCATGCGTTATGATAAACATGTGCCGTGTAGTGCCGTGTGCGTATTGGTTTTCTTGACGTAAAATCACCGTCATCCTCACGCAGCCCAAACCACATACAGTGCAGATTTTCAAGATTCATCCTTGGCTTCGTACGTTTATTGTTCATTAGTTTTCAGGCATGAAACAGTGAAATGGGCCAAAGCAGCACGCCTCGTAATAAGCATCTTGTTTTGACGGACGTAAAAATTCATGTGGTCGCACTTTGAAACTGCTTGGCATCCAATTAGCTATGCAACGAAACAGATTTTGTGCGCTAACACGACGGCTGTTGCTGCCCTGCCACGTTTGGTATCCACGTCATCTCATATTGTCGAGTTTAATGACGTAGAAACGTGAAAGCGTATGCACCTGGTTTGCTGTTTCCTTGAGACTGTGTTCATTGAACTCCCGAGATCCCATCTTTTTAGTTACACTTTCGTTACATTGACTATGAATGAAAGGCAAAACCCGAAGACACGGTTTTGATTCAAACAGAGATTGGATGGACTTTAATATTGATTATTGCATAACATAAACCAAAAACAATTGATACTTCCTAAGATTACGAATTAGATGGGGAGGCAGATGACCTTTTCGTTTTTCTTTAAGATTATTTCGTATTTTGAACTGCTTCAGCGTTTAAGGCATGATGTCCTTTTGTTGTTGGATATTTTTTCTATCAACTTTTTTTGAGAAATTGAGAAGAGTTTCTAATCACTAGAGCTATTATGTCGGTAGTTGGTTAATTTAATCAGATCTACAGTAAAACAAGATCAAATCATGGAGCCAACTCTTGTGCCAGGGCCTGGCTGATTTCTTCTGTCCAGTTTATCGATAACATAATAATGTACCATCCCACTATCAATTCAGTGGATTGGAAACAATTTTCAAGAGTTAACACTGAAGTGCGATGAGAGTTGAGTATTTGGGGCTAGAGCTAAATTTTTGTCCATGAATGCCAAAAATGTGGCAAAATTTTAGAAATTTTCCGTCCAATTCAATGTTTTGGGAGGCTTGAGCCCTCTTGCCACTCCTTGGCCACTGCGCCCCAGGTCTAAAGACGTAGACTGCGGCTTTTATTATTTGCATGCACACAAAATATCCGTTGACCAGTTTCTTCTTACCGTCATCCTAAGAATTTTAATTTTGCACTATAGAAACGCCGAAATTGCAATACAGGAACCACAAACCGCTTGAAACTCCGAATGAAAGACGTAAGCTGCAGTGTGCACAAAAAATATGCGGAACCCAAAGCCGCGATTGAAAATATGACCGAGGCCGTGAAGCCGCAAGGGTGTCATGTCCCCATTGAAAATTCTGTATTTGCGTAGTTGACTAAATCACGAGGCTTTAATCTTTAATTTTCGATTGGAAACTTAACTGTGCAAAGTATTATTCATTCCCGCAATTCCAACGACCTCCGCTGAAGATTTCCTTCAACTATGTATCAACCAGCTTGTATTATACGCGTTTTTCGATTTAATGACCCTTTCACGGTTCTCATCCTAGAAGCTTCTCGGGTGAAGCATAATAATCATGACGTCAATTCATCGATCAACAACAATCCACCGATGCAAGTGTTTCCTGTCAAAACATGAAACCTTATAATAACTACTTATTGATCACTCCCTTTCTACGTAAAACTTTCGTAAAACTGTTAAACTTCTTTCTTCGTTGACGTCACATGTTTCCTCGTGAATGCCTCGTGTTCTTGTTGCGCTTAGGAAGTAAGGAGCTTGTGAAACCTGTTAAATTGATATTGTGTCCAAATTGATATTGAAAAAAATTGAATATTTCAATAGAAATAATGTTTAGTTCTATGTGATCATCTCGTACATAATGAATTTTATAGACACAGTTTTCATTGACTTCAGAAATTATGTTCAATTGGCATGGACGCCTGAAAAGCTGGAATTTAATTTAACTGACCCAAACCAGAGGATCAGTTAAATACTGAACGCAATTTTTGTAAAGAACAATTGTAAGCATTCATCTTTTTTGCGTCGTAAGTTGGTTTTTAGATATCTTTATGTCTTGAGTACTTTTATCATTGGCATGAACATGTCATGTTTGTGACAACAGGGGAATAATATGGAGAAGCGTCCAAAATTTTTGTATCTGTATACGGCACATTATTGAAGCTTTGGCAACCTAAATTAGATGGTTTTTCAGAAATAGTCCCAACAGCGCCATACTTATTTTTACTTAAAACTATTGTAGTCGGCTGGAAGCTTCAAGGTCGTATATCAGTCTTGTGATCAGAAGCAAGTGTCTGATATGCAGAGTAAAAGAAAAAGATTAAGGGCCCTTTCTGCAAACGTTGAAAAATGATTTCCATAGGTTTGAAAACTGCAGTCGCAACAACGGCCGTAGATTCAGGACCGTATCTTTATTTGATAAATATCTCTAAATATTGATTGTCTATGTTTGTTACATAAATTATAAAAATTCTTTGTCTTCCTCTTTTTTTGCTTCGTCGTCCCCCATGTCTAGAGTATTATAAATAGATGGTAATATTCTTGATCGAATTTTTTTACAAAGTCAGGATCCCTGGGAAACTATTGGAGATTTCAGAGTACATTGACAAAATATCGACAACATGCTGGACGCCAGAGAGGGGAGAGGACTTTGTTCTCAAATACTGTGTACTTGAAGCTGTGTACTTCAAATACTGTGTAATTGCCGAGGATGTAAGATCCCTACCCTGTCTTTTGAATAAATTATGGTGCCAGCCAGACCTGTGTAATACACGTTCTTGATCTTATATACTGTCTTAATTTTAGGGGAACCCACCACACAGAGTCACGCATTTTCAGTTTACTGCATGGCCTGACTATGGCGTTCCGGAATCTGCTGACAAGCTTTTAGATGTAATGAACCAAGTCCGGACATTTCAGAACTTGACGACAGACTTGGACGACATCAGGGAATCAATACCTTCACATTCAACCTCATCTCCAGAAAAAGGTCTTGTCTCACAAGAAAGCCCGCTAATCGTTCACTGCAGCGCGGGTATAGGGCGAACTGGAACGTATATTACAACTGATGTATGTTTGCGAGAATTCGACGCAACCGGAACTGTTGACATACAGAGCACCGTACAACGTATACGCCGACAAAGAGCCTTGGCCGTTCAAACCGAGGAACAGTATGCGTTTTGCTATTCGGCCTTATTGGAATATTGCTTAAAAGCAAGTCGTGCGAATGAAAAGTTGTGCGGAAAAATTACGAAATGTCTAGATAGATTTAAGTCAGGGCTTTGAATAATGTTGGTGAGGAAATGAGGAGCTATAAAAGGCAATTATATTGAGCGATATAGTTAGAAAATTATACTTCTAAAGTTATATGGATGGTTATAAAAAGTCTCCTCATAGCTAGAATATGTTTGGAGGGGCCAGCCCCAAATTTTGAGAATTTTAACAGTAGACTGAAAACGCTTTTAATAAACGACAAATTAAATTTAACAAGATCTGCTAGCTTTTATTTACTAACCGCAGGAACAGTGTTGAAATGAATAACTAACATGTTTTAATGCAGGGATACCTGATCTGACAGATTTATCCTTTCCGATTTCGACCGGATTGTATGCTTAAAGCCACCAAAATTTCCTTCCCAATGATAGGAATTGAAGTGGGGTGGGGATCGGGTGCTAAGTGGGGGCTTGTTGATCGGGTGCTAAGCAAGTCGGTGCTTGCCTTGTTTCCCCTTTTAATTGCCTCAAAATTCAAGTCTTTTTCAAATGTTCTGTGTCAATCTTTTGGCAATTTTCAAGTGTAAATAAACTAGAATTATGTTGTTTTAACTATTAAACATTTGCATTTAATGTAAGCAAGAAAATGTATCTTTTGCAACTTTTTATGACTGTAGATCTTGCAAATCGAGGTAATCTTGTATTTTTTTAACATAGCAAAATTATATTAATACCATGAAGCTTTTGAAAATGTAATATGTATAATATGAATAAATCGCGCTAGTAATTTTAACTTTTTGAATTTTAAATACGTCCAATTCTCAAGCTTTGAAAAGCATTATGAGAAAGGAATAAAAATCTTGGTGGGGATTTGGGCGTGGCTGTTGTCATTGCTACAACTGGCGGCCCATTATCACCATGTCCCCAGGCACCTTAACCCTTTGCCCTTCTCCCCTCTAGACGACATTTTGTACAGATTATGCAGAAACATTTTTTCAGGACAATGTTTCATAAAATGCATTGATACCATTGTCCATTTTTTCCAACACCATTGTACTTTTCCAATGTTCTCCAATGACTGCGGAGCATATAACGGATTGAGAGGGGCTTAAATGTCTGGCAGGGGCTAAACATGCTAAAGACCAAGAACAATGACGATTTTTTGTAAGGTTTTAGATACAATTTGGACATTACTAGGGGGCTATAGCCCACTCAGCCCCCCTCCGCTTCCTCGATTCCTGGTGTTCTCTTTAAAAAACTTTGTAACTGGCATCAATTGCAATCTCCCTTCCCTCACAAAGCAAGGCTTTCTGAAGTTTAGATCTACTATTCTCATCTTACGAGAATCACAACAACAGAATTGCTTTGTTGTTTCAATGTTGTTTCAAATCAATGTTGTTTCACAATTTTGTGAACGATTGTAGGACCAATTCGTATTGCTCTCCATATAGAGAAAGCGTTTTGAGGGGATGTTGGTACCCCCTATTATGATTCATATTTGTTATCAAAAGCATATTATTTTATACAGGTATTCATGCAAACAATTAATGGAATATATATCGTGTATATAGGCATTTATATAAACGGATGTCATTTTATTTCTATATAATTCTCACGTGTAAAAACCCATAATTTATTATCGGACACAATTTTACAGGAAAATTTTTGATTAGCAACCTAGCTTTTCTTCGATCAGTTCTCTTGTTCATTCCAATATGACAAACGTTTGCACACATGATTATATAGGCTTTGCTAATTGAATAACAGAAAGTTGATTCTATTCAAATTTGTTGACGTTCCTTCATTTCGTTATTGCTTTACGCCACGGCAAGAGGAGTTGCTACAAATTCTTTGCAATAACTACCGCCATTTGAGTAACAAAAGGTACCGTAAGAACAGTTTGTTAGGGAAGGGGAGGGGTCATTCCAGGCACCGCGGAGCAGGAGGGCTTGGGGGGCTTTAGCCCCCCCCCACTTTTTGCAAAAAATGCCAAATATTAAGTATCAAACTACCAGAAATGCCTCATTTTATACGGTTTTAGCCCCCCCTCCCCACTTTTTTAGACCCCCAACTTTCTCAGCGCTTCGCGGTGCCTGCATTCTTAATCGATGTAGCAACATCCTCATCCACGATTCGCCGCTAACGGCCTACAACTACCTACCTTGCCAGTGTTACTTGAACAACAAGTAGCCTTCTTCAACATACATTTAAGATTTTACATTCTCAGGCCTGGTAAAGAGCACGATAGCACAAAATGGAACCCACATCTTAATCACGCTACAAAACCATTGCAAAGCTTAAAAAATTGATTTGTTTTAGGCTTTGATTTTATGAACAAATAGCTGCATTGTACACACCTACTTTATTGTATATTGGTACAAAATGTCCCTTGTGACTCTAAGGTATGTTTTGCTATTTTACTCCATTGCAACCGTTGAGAAAGAATTCTTCCTCAAGAGAGATTGTATGCTAAAGAACAACGTATTTCGTTTGTTATCTAAAGATTCTCTGTAAGATGCTGTCCCACCAGATTTAAATTGGTGACTTTGCACGTCCCAAATGGAAAATACAAATTTAGGAATGACTCGTCATGCCCAAAACTTTATATCGATGCTTGCAAGTAAACAGGAGATATCTTTTTCCAGTTCCATCTTGGAGATAGTGGTACGCAATAGATTGAGGCAAATGTAGTCTATTTGTGACAAGCAGCTACGGCCACATGCTATGGGACCTTATGGGACTCGAATTCGTGGGAGTTGTAGAACGGCCCAGAAAAGTACTATTTGTAAGTTTTCTTTCAAAACCATTTATACTTTTCTCTGCATGTACATCAATGTTTTTGGTAACATTTTACAGAAGAAAGAGTTTGTTGTGATTATCAATACAATGTCGCTGGGCTGGATAGGGGTGGGTTTTCGTGTCTGGTTGGATGCTTTTTGACAAAGGAAGCATCAGGAATTTCAGCATGCCCGGGAGCATCTTGTGCGAGGTAAATTTTGGAAATGAGAGGCGAAGAAGCCCGAAGTTCAAGTTAATTGGTAAACGTTTATGATACTTTCAGAGGTTTCAAGATCCTCGTGTGCACTTTTTCCAGACCTCAGAGGTGTGTACAGGCACCGCGGAGCGTTGAGAAAAGTGAGGGGTCTAAAAAAAGTGGGGGGGGGGGGGTGCTAAAACTGTATAAAAAGAGGCTTTTCTGGTAGTTTGATACTTAATATTTGGCATTTTTTGCTGAAGCCCGACCCCCCAACCCCAGCCCCCCTGCTCCGCGGTGCCTAGTGTATCACACGTTCGGATGAGAAATGGGAAATAGTAAGATCTTTGTCAATTAAAATACAAAGAGTAGATAATCAGACGGGGTTTTTCCGATTATCTTTAACAGTTAATTTCCATTCGTGGGTTTTTTTGTTCAATCCTCAACAGCCACTTTGTTATGTAAACAAAATTGTCATATCCGTTGTGAAAATGCGTTGCAGGTCGTGGGAGAACACTTCCAGCTGGCGTGAGAAATTCGTCGGCTTGATTATCGGTAAAAAACCGCATGATACAAGCTATCGAATGCCAATAGCAAGTTTGGCTCATATTTTATTATGTTAAATTTCCTGTTGGTAGGGAATGAACGGATGTTTTCTATTAATTTAAGGCCCTGATTAAATGGGATTTTTCACCATAGGACTGGGATTTCAGTCCTTCTACCTGACAAAAAATAATCCCTTTTCTGGAGTAGATGCAACTGGCGTAGACTTTTTAGCCTAATGACAGAACAGAGACGGCACCACGAAATTGAACCTAGGGTGGCTAAGAATCAAGTTTAATGACATAAAAGGACCCACCATCGTTGAATCAAAAGTGGAAGAAAACTTTTTACATTAAGTCTTTTAGAATGGCTAAAAGTGCATCTCACAAACTGAAATAAAATTTCTTAATTATCATTTTAATAAACAGTTTTTGATTCCTTTTCATTACATACTCTGTTTTCAAAAATTATAAGTCTTTATCTCTGAAAAAAGTGAGGGGCTTCAGCCCCCAGCTCCCCGTGCCTATAGAAATCCATGTATGCAAACAACCAATCCAAGCAACCTGCAAACAGGATTTTCTACGGTGTTAAGAAGCCTCTACATCGGTTGCCTACATAGGTGCAGACTTAGTCTCCAGGGCTTGAGCCCCCCCTGACGAAACTTTGGAGGGCTCAGCCCCCCCCCCTTCACATTCTTAGTTTCACGCATAAAAATCATCTCAAGAGATTAAATCAAGATCAATTAACAACAGTAATTTTTAAAAAAATCGCCTTCTGAACCCTCTGCTAGGCCTCTTTCTACTCTCTAGCCTTCATTAGCAAATTCAATTTTTGCCCCCCACCCTCCTGGAAAAAAATAGGCCTGTCCCTATGGTTGCCTATCTTCAAAGAACCACGGTGGTCTTGGCCTGTAAGCGTTGTTATTAAACAATTAATTTCAACAAACCACGCGAATTTCGAAAGATTTTCTTTAAGAATGATGTTTTTATACAGAGGCGGAATTGGCTACGTTAGTTGGCTTGGAAATGGTCAGTGTAACAATTGTTATGGTTATGAGTAATTTTGTCAGGCAAAGAATGATCTCTTCTTCTAGTTTATCGCAAAATTTAAAATACCCTTAAAGTCTGGCTCTCTCCCTTCTTGCAATAATTTAGCGGTTTTGAGCAATTTAGCAAAATAAAATTATTCTATACTTCGTGAACTCATTTAATCCGAATCTTTTATATATGTTCTATTGGAAGTTTCTTGCCAAGCTTCTACATATCCTTTTATTTATCTCGGCCTTGGTTTCATTTCTTGAATTACATTACCCTTTTAGCATTTCATGTTACTCCTTAGAATAAAACATAAGTGGAAATTTGTGTTTGAAGAGGCAACTTCAAGAAATAGCCCATGGATAGCCACAGGGTTTTGCTCGAAGTAGACGGAGGCTCCATGGGCCATTTTTGAAAAAGGGGAATCTGGGACCCAGTATTTTGTAAGTGGGACCGTGATTGATCTTGGGGGCTATGATGGTCCAATGACGTGGTTAGGATTACGTAGACGTGGTTAGGATGATTTGAGCCAACGTCAATATGCTTGTATCAGAGTACTTATATTATAATCAGCTTAGAAAACTCATGGTAGGTTGATGTTTGCCGAGTTTCTAGTGCGACCTCTCGTTTGGTTTCCTAAGCCTATGAGCCGTGGATTGTGATGGTTGCAAATCATCCGTGAATACCTGCATCCAAGTCCAAATAAGTGACTAATACATAGGCCTGATGCATATCAGTGTTTGTGCGCTTTTAAAACCCATATACATAAATGGTATTGTTGCAAGCAGACTAAAACATAAAGCCACATAAACATGAGCTTGATAAAGATAAACAACTAGAGTTGCGATATGATTTTTTGCTGTTGAGCAGATAGTAATATATGGCAGATAGTAATATATGGGGATGATGAAAATACATGTATAGATTTTAACCACTTGTCCTATTCCTGCCCCTCATCACCAGTGTGCACTGACGCACACCATACATAATTTCATCATAATAATCAGCATCTACACATTTTGGTAACAAGCATCTTATTCATACTTTTCCCCGACTATGGCTGTACCGATTTGTGAAATATTGTTACAGTACGCCTTCACCAGATCTCTCAATCGCTAAATTGCCCTCGCTGTCCCATCATTTCTAACAGTCTCCCGTCTCTGTCCCAGCCCCAATCTAGTTCTACATCAGGGTTGCCAAACAGACCTTTTTGAGGCCCAATTTTCCAATTTTGACCTGTTTTTGGGATAACGTAGAAAAAAGCGTTACATACTCTAACCCAGTGCACTTTTAGAAGAATTTTAGTCAATTTTAGAAGAATTATGTGAACCATGTTTTGACAATAGCGGGAGGCGATGGTTACCCCTTCTCTACCCAGTACCACCCCTGGCGCCGCCACTGTTTGTTCAATAAAACAGAATTTAGAGTGATAAGCTAGATTGTTTTTACTTTCCTTAGTGCGATGAACCGTCTAGTTATCTTCAGAAGCGGTGCTTGAGGCCTGTATACATTGGAGTTAAAACCATTCGAAAGATTGAAATTCAGTTTACATTGGTTGAATCGACTCTTTCATTGAACAATATAGTATAGTATTTGGCAATACAGTTATTGTCTAAACTAGGGTTGAAACTATAATCTCTCTATCTATATTGTTGATTTAATTTCTAACAAACACATCGCTTGTCTATGTAAAGTCTAATCTAACGTTAAATTCTATGCGATTTGTGTATAGTCTACTTTCAGCTTAGACAAAAAGTTCTGTCTTTGTAATCAATTGACAAAGAATAGATAACACTGAACTGCAGAAAGCCCTCACTCTTCTTCATTATCTCCGGTTTCGTCAGGAAATTACTTTATAATGTTCCCGATCAACTCTCACAGAAAAACAGCCAATGCTTTCTCTTTTTAAGTTCCCATTCCTCACTGAGTTTTCTTTTCTTCCTTAAGTTTCGAACGGTTTCTTTAACTCAATTTTCTTCCTTCATGTTCTCCCCTTTCTTTAGATTCCTGTTTCTGTCTGTCTCGGAAAAATGCTAATTAGGCTTTCGTTTCAAAGGAATACTACGAAAACTAGGGATCCACGGAAAAGCACAGATGTTCAGTTAAGTTTCATGTACGCAAGACAGATGCGGAAACTGAAACCTTCCAGCCTGTTTCGCATATTCTGAAACAGAAAATGTCCTTCAGAATATCTTTCAGGCTAAAAACCTCCGTTTCTCGTCTTGATTTAAAAACAACGTCACTTTATGAGTTGAAAATTGAAATCATATATTCGTAGCCACAACAATCAAAATTCGATTACAATTTTACTACTCCGTTGCAATGTGATGCTAAAGAGAGAAA